GCCAGGGATCTTTTAGACTGTAGCATCATGATAGCCTAAAGCAACATGAATTAATAAGCCACTATTTTTCTTTTAGTTCACACACAACCTTTTCTAGTCTAGGAGCAATCAGAAGTGATATCACTCCAGTTCTTGGTGAGCAGCAACAGAAACCACTGCTGAAAACCTCAGCAAGAGCACATAAAACCAGCGGCACGGAGGTGAAAGGCTGAAGGTTTCTGGGTTTATGTGAGGAGGTCCGATTGTCTGGTGTCTGACCTGAACAGTTATAAGAGTTTCGCTTACAGTGCTATCAAGCTGGCTCTTTTTATTAAATTAAATGCACTTGAAAAATAAAAAAAAAACAAAACAACATGAGTGTTTTTTCCCAATGATTTTTAGTGAAAGAAAATCACACTATTACACCTCAGACTGTGGGAATCATGTTCTAAGCCATGGCAGATTATAATAAATTGCTTTGCTAAAGAAGCAAATGGAAACCCTTGAGTTCCACAGCATTTTAAGCAAGAGAATGCCAGACTGAAACAGGTTTAACACTGATACTAGGTTAAATCTTAAATTAGGTGTGCAAAGCCTTTTGGTTTTTCAGGGTGTGACTCACATGTGAAATGGCCAAACCAGTTTTCAAAGAGGTAAAAAAACAGAATGATTATTTTAAAGAATCATAGAATAACTCAGAGACAGAACTGTAGATGCTATAAATCATATTATTATTAATAATTCCAAAGGAATGATAGCTGCTTATACTATTGAATTTTGTGATAATTCTTTTGGATGAAATGATTTAAAAAAATTTTAGAAGTGCATTTATTTTATATACTTTATATAATTTAGATATCTCTTTGGTTTCAATTTTTTTTTAAGATATGTCATATAAATGCTTTAAATAAGGCAGAAGAAACTGCATTAAAAGATCCCCTTGTTAAAATGAAATATAATTTTGGAAAGAAAAATATTAAGAGGTGGGTGGACTAGAGGACCCCAAGGGGTCCCAACAGGAACAATTCTGTGATTCTCTGATAGGTATTTTTATATATTATATGTTGCAGATTATCTTCTGGTCTATACCACTATATAATATATATTATACATTATATAATTATGATATATGATGTAATTATTGCACATTATATTTTTTATATTCTATATATCATGCAAAGAAAATGTAAAGAAAGCTAATGTGGTTATTTTCTTTAAATGAATTTAAAAACCAAAACAGTATTAGCAAAGAAAACTAGTAAGAGAGAAAAAGGGATATTTCTGTGTTCTTGATCAAGTGTATTAACAGCACACTCTCCAATTCAATGTATATAACAACAGAGAAGTAACTACTCTGACTACTAGTACTCCAATGTCTTACATAAAATAGATCACATGACAAACCAGTCCTAATATAACACTGGTTCATTACATTTATCATTCTCATGTAATCAGGCCTTTCCAGCTATTCCGAAGTTCATGAATACTGCAAAAGGAGGTCTGTAAGTGCATTCCTAGCATCCCAAGATTTTTGAAAAAGAGAGACTGCAACCACTTTTCACCCAAGTATTAACACCAGGCTGAATCTACTGCTGCTGTGTAGAAACTGAGTAATCATGCCCTGTGCAGGTGGAGTGTAGGAGGTGAAATCCAGTCCATGAATGAGGTTGCTGGGCAAGACACATGCACCACAGAGCAGGTGTAACTGCTGTTCTATCGCCCAAACATCTGAAGCTTTCTTCAAAGGTGAGCTGATTCAGCTGCACAAAGGTTTAAAGACTTTTTTACTGACATTTTTTGCTGATTATTTGATGAATCACAACAATTTCCTATTAAATAAAAGTATTGACTCAGTTGAGTTAATGAGGTCTGCCACCTGCTCCTTCAAATCCATGGCTAAACTTGTGCTGACTTCAATCATCCCAGAACAAGCAGACCTTTAAACCTGAGGCTCTCCCTCAAACAAAACTGGACTAAAATCAGCAGGTGTTTTGCTTAGAAAGGCTCCTGTATGAACTCCCAATTGCTGACAAAAGCCCTGGGACACATACAGATGTGTATTGGCATTGACGACCGTCTAATGTCTGTACTGAAATGTACTTTCCTAAAAGACCTAAACACCTCTGAGGATTTGAGGTATTTATCAATCCCTTCCTGGTCAGTATCAGGAAACGTGAATATACATGTGTATTTTAACTTATACATGAAACTAATTGTTCTAATGCTTGTTATTTGTTGGTATCTGACCAACAGCGACATGCTAACTTTCAATTCTAAGTTTTGGTTGTACTCCCAAGTATGAATATTTACATTTCAGAAGATGAAGACATTAAAAAGGTTGTAATCAATGCCCTAGAACTGACATCCAAAATGACAACAGGAGAGTGGAAAAGGTAGTAACGAATATCAAAATTACTAGTAAAAGCAAACAAATCATAGAATCATAGAATAGTTAGGGTTGGAAAGGACCTTAAGATCATCTAGTTCCAACCCCCCTGCCATGGGCAGGGACACCTCCCACTAAACCATGTCACCCAAGGTTTCATCCAACCTGGCCTTGAACACCGCCAGGGACTGGAGCATTCACAACTTCCCTGGGTAACCCATTTCATTAACCCTTCCGTTCTCCTTTTAACAATTCAAGTAAATGACCATACAAGACATACAACCTTTTGTCTGGGCACCTGCATCACACAAAAATCAGAACAAACAATGAACAAATCAACCTTGAACAACTCCTGTATGTGGAGCACATCAGATTCTCTACCAAATTTGTTCAATAGCGCTAAAAAAAGGGTTTAAGGAAGATCTACTACAAATACCATGAGGATTCCTGAGAAAGCTACGCGTCAGAAGTATTCAACTTCTTAAACATTAGCACATTAACACTGTTGAACTGCTATAAATACTGATGGACTACTTGGGAAGAAGGGATTGTATGTGTTGCTCACCACGACTGATGATGTTGGTCACACTATGGTTCCAATGTGGGAACCATCTTTTTCGTTTCCCAAAAGGATTTCAGTCCACTGTTCCTCTAACACATTTTATTTTATTGTTTTTATTAAGTACTATACTAAAGAATACTCAACAGTTCATTCCTTGCTGCTGATAAAATGGAGCCCCTGAGGTCCTCTGATGTAGCTCCTAACTTTGCTTATTACTGAGGTGCATGCATAAACAGGAAGTCACAGAAGCCACAGACAAACCACTCAACCATGCTGAGGCAACCAACCACAGGTAAGCATATTAGGTTGGGCTGATTATGGAAGGCTGAATGAAGCTGGCGGCTGGAAGAGGCTGACATTTCAGTACTGGTCAGCTCAGATACATGTAACAACCTCTTATATGCTGTGTCCCAGATGTGCTCTTTTAATACTGGTTTGACTTTGTAAATACATTCTTCATGGTGATACACAACTATTACTATTTATTATTTTATAAACATCACAAGATACACAGCTTTTAAACACTTTATACAAGCTGTAATGCCCACCTTATACTGGAAAAATGAGATGGAGCTGCTTACAACAAAGTTTTTGAGCTATCACAGTTCAGTAGCTGGGCAGTACAGGCAGGTGACCTCCTACACATCAGAGGGACAAGATGGAGCTGAACCTCGCTGGGATGCTGAAAGGGCTCTCACTAATCTGACCAGTACATCAAACATAATCTAATAAAAGACTGTTCAAGTGCTTGTGGGCCACAGATTCTCTATGAAGGTACTTCTGGGTTCTTTCCTTTGCATTTAAAATATTTATATTTTAACCTAACAGGATATATAGGAAATTGGATTAAAAGATCTTTTATCAGTTATTTGTTTGTTTCACAAATATTATAAATTGCACTGTATTTACTGTTGAATTTATCTTGTATTCTAAGTATTTCTGGTTTCTTTCAAATCCTACATACACTGTCGTCAATATTAGCTCAAGGCTAAAAATCTTCATCCTATTTCTCTTGCATACTGCTTTCTTCATACTCTGTGATGTCTGTCACATTAGTGGAAATCTGTATACAACAAATAGTGCTGCTTCAGAGGTACTAATGTAACTGAACCAGAATGTAAACGGAAGTTCTTATTTATACCAAGGCTTTATATATTTTTAATATTCATGGTCTAATTCATAAACAAGCCTTAGAGTGTTGTTTTCCTTTCTTTCCCTTTATGAAGATACAGGAATGGCACATTTGATGGAGGATTAAAAGAGAACTCCACGATGAATTATTCAGGACAGCAAACAATATTCTTTCCTAAAGAAAACGATAGCTCTTAGAAATACAGTGCAGTATGTACAGAGCTGTGTAAATACAGGAAAACAAGAAAATAAGAATGAAATAAACAATTGGATTTGAAACAAAAGAACATTTCTGAGACTTAAATCACTGGCCTACATTTATTCAAGTGAAACATTAATTCAGAAATGTATGGTGATGTGCTGACCCTGTTGCTCAGTGACAAGACACTCACTGACTTGAGGGGAACCAGCATTTCACCCCATCAGTGTGAAATATTTATAGTTCCTTCTAATAGATTTTAGGCATTAAGTTTGAATTATTTGCTCCTCCTTCCCTTTTGGGGAAAGAAAAAAAAAGGAAGACAGGAAGATAATCTGGCTACTTGGACTAGATGGTCACTTCCAACTGAAATTATGTCATGTATTCTACTCTAGGCTAGGCTAGGCTACTCTAGTCTATGTTATAATCCTGTTATATTGTATTAGCCTAGCCTAGCCTAGCCTATTCCAGTATTTGTCTTGACTTTCCACATCTGTATGGGAAATACATGTATTGAGAAGGACAGATTTTAGAAAAGGGGGCTGGTCTTAAAAAGGTCTGAGAATACTGTGAAATAAAAAAATGCCACTTCATTTGCCATGGAGAATATGAAAGGTAAATGACTGTGCCAGACTCTCTGCTGTTGTGCCTGATCAGCTCCTTGTACCAGATCTAGGAAGTCATTCGTAAAACAATAATTTAGGCTGACAAAACTGCATATTAACATAAGTAATGTACTGTACCTAGGGATTCTTGCCAGCAGTCTCATTTTGCAGGTGGATACAAAACTGAGATATCCTCACTCTTCAAGTCCTCAGCTGAAGGAAGAGTTGAAGGAGCAGATGAAATTTCATGCCACTGTCGCCCCTGGCATTCCAGTTCTGTGTTGGAACAGCATATATCACCTCATTATCTTTCAAGAACTAAGTAAAAGATTTCAAAAACTCACATTCAAAACTCTCAGTCTTTCCCCCTCTATTCTATATTAGCGTAGTAAGTGCATTTACAGAAGGTATCATCAGTCAATAGCTAAATGGCTCCTTACAGGACAAGCCCAACCATGGTGAATATGGCAAGGTAAAGGTCTTTATTTTCCACCTGAGTGAACTGACCTAAAAAGGACTGAGTGTTTATCTTGCTTTCCTCTCACCCATCCAATGCAAAGGAGCTTGGAGATAAACAAAACCAGGTAGCTACAGCATTGTCAGAAGGTGGTAGTAAATGTCACCCAGTAGCTAACTTTTGAGAAAGAACAGGAATTCTGCCTCTAAGGGGGTTTCTCTGACTTACTTGGCCTGCAAAGGCTGCCACTGAGGTTAAGCTACTTATGAACCACTGTCTGGATAAGACACAGTCTAGCTAAGTGCTTGGAACAACACTAAATATATAACTGTCACAACACACACTGGTTATCTGCCCACACTACTATTTGATTATAGCCTACAAAGTGTTCTCTCAGAAAAAAATTATGTCACCAAGTTATCTATCTACGTGATTCTAACACAAATTTTTCACAATTTGGTATTTTCCTTAAAGCACCATTTCCTAGAATCAAGTGATTGTGTAATTATTTCAAACAAAAATTAAGATACAAGCCCAGTGGGCTGTATAGTAAACTGAATTCATTACTCTATTATCCCCCAATATCTCAGAAATAGTAACAAAAAGAATCTCAAATATCCACAACTTCTTTTTTTTTTTCTTTTTTAATTTTATTTTCTGTGCATCTGGATTTTTCATTACTTCTACTGCACCAACTATCTGGGCTTTCCTAGGCAACAAGCACATTGATCTCAGGGAATCATTAGTAAGACATGAGAGGAAAAAGTTTAGAGCTATCTCTATACTTCCCACCTGTAGGGGCTGAAAAAATACCTGCAACCTGGGTTTATTGGGAAAAAAAGTAAGTCATGGCAGAACATCCTCAGCGATAAGCAGAAATTACTCTTACTGAACACTATGAGAGAGATTTTAACTGCTAGAATAGCACATGAAGAGGGCTGATGCATTTTACTAATGATGTAGATACAATAAGTCTTGACAAGCTCTTGGTCATGACATTGATGTCATCATACACATGGTGATGAAAGTAACATAGCGGCAGACAACAAGGAAAAGAATGTCATCTAGTAAGAGAAAACTGCAGGCACAAGGAAACACAGGTTAAGGCACCAGGCTTTCATGCCTGACCCATTCTGAAAGAGGCTGGAGCTCCTAAGGATGCTAGGACATTTTGAATGAGTCAAAGAAGCTGTGGCATGATGACCACAAAACATTTCTAGGTGGTTTTGACTTTTGGCAGTATTTGGGTACACTTGTATTTTCCTCAGACACAGTTGGATTTGAAAGCACTGACAAAGACAAGGTCAAGGGCACTGACATTTAACCAGCTGCAATTATCTCACTAAGGTGCTTCACAGCTCACATCTGGGGATAGAATGGTGGCCTAGCATCACAGTAAAGCTGTCCTGAAACTCTGTCAAAGCCAAACTGTATATTCATCTACTAAGCTGGAACCAATATCTCACTCTGTTTAGTTGTACCCATGTGTAGCTCAAGGACGCTGCCAATCTCTTAAGGGATCCCCTGCAGCCTAGATTAAAGGAAAGATGAAAACAGAACTAACAAGCTAACGATTCTAAAACACGAAAACTAACATTGACCAATGAGTAAGACTTCATCATTCCTTTTGACTTCTGCTTCCATCAGTTGCATATATAGCAAAAGAGTAGTTCAACGTGACATAACACTGCACTTACATGCTTGAAAATTTTGCTTTCCTTCCTCCCTCGCTTAAATCATTCTCTAAGTTCCTTGCAAATTTCTGCCTATAATTAAATGAAAATGTGAAACTTCACTTGAGATCCATATCAAACCCCAGTACTGTATAAAACAGGATTTTTAGCAAAAATACAACACAACCTTGTATCTCATGATTATAAATTGGGCAATGTAAATCCTTAGCAAAACTGAGGCCCAAGCCTACAATATTCACTGAGTAGCTTTCCCAAAAGAACAGCTGCACAGAACTAAATTAAACAGCAAAACTACCACCAGTAAAAGCAGTCACAATGTTTAATATTTGTAAGATCAGGACATTTTCCCCTTGGATTCAGCAAAGCCCTTAAACATATACTGAATTATAAACAAGTGAGTAATTCCATCCTGATGCGACAAGCTGCTTAAATACAACTGGAATGCTTAAGTACTCTGCTACATGGGGATGCCATTACTCACATACTTAATGATAAGCACATGCTTATTATTTAACTTTTTATGTTGCCATGCCTAAAGAGAAGCATACAATTAATGTACAGTTATGAAATGAGAATCCACCCCCCCGAGCTTACTGCATAAGAGAGAATACAGAGAAGAGATAAAAAGCAGTATAGTGACAACTGTGAAACTAAATTTAATTTAGGTCTGCCTTATTTTACAGGTGATCCAATTGAATTATGACAGATTCAGCCTTATTTCACACTAGTCTGAAAGAGGAGAAATAGACTTCTTTGGCAGAATCTTCCATTTCTTTCCTGCATGTTGACACTTGATCTGTACAAGATACCCACAAAGTGCTCTTCATAGATCCATTTTGTTAATTAGCTATATGCCATTCTTCAAATTCTGTAGACTAAACAGTAGATTTGGTAAGCAAAAGGCATCCTGAGATGTCCTGAATGCACTTCAATATTATTGAAGCAGATCTAGTAAGTCACGTTGCCAAGATATTCACAAGATGTTCCAATTTATTTTCACATCAGTAAGTGCCTGTGCAATTTTAATTAATGTTATGATTTTCTGCATTGCCTCAGCAAAAACAGACTTCATAAAATAAGGGAAATGAGTAACAATATTTGTGGTTTTCTTCAAAATCTATGGATGATATACATGCATCTATGAATCATTTAGATGCAACTTACATCAACAGGGAAATTTTACAATCATATATGTTGAAAATCCATTTTCAACAAATACTGGGAAGGTAAGCATTAACATTTTCCAGAGTTCTCCTTGGTGAAAAAACATGTATGCAAATGAAAGATGCACCAGAATATTTTCTTCTAAGTAGATTACAATGCTGTCATTCTATAGAGATTTTGATAGCCTATCTCTACAGCCTCTGACATGTACTTTGGGATCCCTGCACAACTTTAGAAATACATTCTTCTATAAAATGGAATAAAACATGCCAGCCTTGGCACAGACTGATGGCAGCAGCAAAGTAAAAAAGTAAAACAACAAAAAATTATAAAGTTATATTAAATGCCACAGACTACGTTCCATGGGCTACTACATTTTAATTGGCTGACTTCCCAAAAGAGGGCTATTACTGCGCTTCTTGCATAAGAAGAGCTCCTCATAATTTCAGGAGGACTATAGCATAAATTGGAATTGTAAGGGTTTTTTGAATGTTTGGGTCCTGTTTGTCCGCATCAAAAGCAAGTATACAAATAAAACCCTTTAACTTTTAATGTTGCAATTACTGGTATCAATGTATGGTCTGCACATAAATATAAGTCAATATATTAATGCATTGTTAGACTGAGGGCAAAATGCTCAGCCCAAAGTCTGATAAACCAGTCACTCTTTGCTCAGTGTTTCACTTGATGCCAACACCAAGCATTTTCAAAACATATTTCTTATTGCTGTCCAAGCTTTCTTTTTCCTTGATGGGATGAAACAATAGCATGGCATCCAGTCAGTATTTTTGCACACACAGTATATTGCAAAGTCTAAAATTTGCACATCTATCATTCCTTTGTTCTCTTTAGGGGGATGTTGCTTGGCCTAAGTTAATAACTACAAAGTTCTTTCTAGTACCACCTTTTAAGATTACCTTTACCTACATAGAACCTGCAAGGTTCTCTTCTGTAATGACTTCAAGCACTGAATCTTACATCTTTACTTTCCAGTGGGTTTCCTCTGTATTATAAGGTCACTTTACGATTACTGAATCTCCCTATCCTATCAATTCTTCTTGTTCCCTTTATCTTAGTCTTAGCCTTTTATGCTTGGCTACATTCTCCTGAGGAAGAAAAAAAGACAACTTGTTTGTTTTGTGAAGAAAGCACTAGAAGACGGGAGCAGGGATGTATTATAGGGAACTTTAGACACGTAGGGCATCTGCCAGTTTGATAGCCTCCTAAGACTTTCCACAGACAGAATCATAGAATCATAGAATTATAGAATCATAGAATCATGGTATAATTTGGGACGGATGGGACTTTCAAAGGTCACCTCGTCCAACCCCCTGCAATGAGTCATCTTCAACTAGACCAGCTTGCCCAGAACCACATCCAGCCTGGCCTCAAATGTCTCCAGGGATTGTGCATCCATCACCTCTCCAGGCAACCTGTTCCAGTATTTTTCCACCCTCATTGTAAAGAATTTTTTCCTCATGACCAGCCTGAATCTCTCCTCTTTTAGTATAAAACCATTACCCTTCACCCTATTGCAACAGGGCCTGATAAAAGTCTCTCCCCATCTTTCTTATAGGCCCCTTTTAAGAACTGAAAGGCCACAATAAAGTCTTCCCAGAGTCTTCCCCAGGTTTAACAACCCCAAATCACTCAGGAAATGGCCAGTGGTTTTTCCCTCTTTTCTGCAGTGCCTGTAGTGTGAAAGAACGATGTGGAGTGCTTGACTATACGCTTACAGTAAGAGCTTGTGAAACTCTTCATCAGTTAATTACAGTGCATTTTTCTCAAATTAACATTCTACAGAAATTCAACTGCATGTACCATCCTAAACTTCCAACTTAACATGCTGACACTGCACAGGTGTTGGGATTTTTTTCTTCTCTCTGAGCTCTATGGAATATTGCACCTTGAGTTTCAATCTAGATGTAGTAGTTTCACAGTTTCTCAATCCTTCGGGATCTTCTTTCCAGAAAGAGTCTTCCTGGGCTTGTTTCTTGCTTTTCTTAAGTAACTTCTGTGTTCTGTGCATTTGTGCAATCATGTCTTCAACTCCATACTACCTTTTTCTCTTTTGGAAGGTTTGGCAAGACCCTCTGGTTTAAAACCTGTACTGTTCTGTTGATTTCATCTGGCTATGGGTACCTGCCAAGGAGTAGTTCTTTTCATTGTGCATTGGAAAATGTGGCAGTGAGTTTTTTGCAAGTTCCAGTCCCAATCACATTGTCTGCACTAGTGAGTATGGCTACCAGGCAGACCCTTGCAGTCAGTTTTCTGTTGCTTGATCCTGTCTTTAGGTATGGGAGGTCTGTGAGCTGCTGTTAACCATGGCATTTTTGTTAAAATATGACTTTGACTTTCCTCAGCCCCAACTGCTGCACAGTTAAAACAAATCCTTATGTCCCATATTTTATAGTGTTGTCAAACCAGCAGAAATGAAACACAAAGTCTCCTAAAATAAGCTGTATATTTGATAAGGAAAAGTGCCACTGATTTTTGTGCAACCACATGGTGGATGTGAAGAATATGTGGTCGTTTCTATTATCACTAAAGAATTCTTTTTCTGTTCAAAAGCAAACTGCTCCTTCAAAGGCTGTAAATCTATGGTTTTCTCACATGACTTCCATGCAAAAAAAAACATCTCTTTCAACACCTGGAGATGAAGCAGATTTAAAGTGGATGATCAGATGCCTTTTGGGACCATGTGGTGAAGAGCACCACGTAATTGTGAAACATTTGTACTCCCATTCAACCATGGATACGGATTAGTGTGAAGCCCATGGAGCCTGCCAGGAGAGGCTCAGGCGCTAAGGTTTGCTTGCTGGGAGAAGTCCTGATTTTGTTACCACGCTGAATGAAGGAAACAACCCCTCTGTGGGCCCAGCTATGCCAGTGGCTGGTTTGGCACGCTTGAGTCGGGCTCGGAGTAGGCAATGAACTACCCCGGTGTAGATGATGCTGCCCTCAGCCTTCCCTGCCCTGCGAGGGGTCTGCTGGTCTCTACAGTGGGGCCACTCTCCATTTCAGCATGGGGTGGGCTAGTGTGGCGTGGGGTGCTCACTGCCCACTCACCCGAGCTGTGCTTTATGGGCAAGCGGGTCTACCCCGCCTGCGGCCCTGGGTGCCCCTACCCTGGGTGCCTGCGCCTTGCTCCACCACTGCCATTTCCTCTCAGGCTCCGAGCCGCCCCACCACCAGTGCCGAGACACCTCTCCCTCTCTCTCTTCATTCTCACACTCCACCCACTTTTTGCTTGCTTTCTCCATCTCTGCCACCGTCTCTCTCTCTTTCTGGACTTGTCTTTATTTGGCACTCCCGGAAGCTGCTGGGCATTTCTCTCCCTGCCTGGCCGGGCAGCTGATGTGACTGACACCGGCTCCAGCTGAGAAGAAGGAGGAGAAGCAGGAGGAGGAGAAGGAGGAGGAGGAGAAGGAGGAGGGAGAGCAGCGGCGAGGCGAGGGAGGGGGGAGCGATTGACCGGCCACGGATTTTCATTGCAGAGAGGAGGGGAAGGAAAAAAAAAAGCCTACACGGGTCATCAAAACAGGTAACTCAAGAGCAGGCAGCGGCGGGAGGGGCGGGATGCGGGGAGCGGCCCGACCCCTCTGGCCCCGGCAGGCTGGGGCGGGCCCGGCGCGGCGCAGTAGGGGTAGGAGGTGCGCTGGAGCTGGTGGTGGGGCGGCGGGGCCCGGCCGCAGCGATAGCGGACACCTTGGGGAGGGGGTAGTGGTGAGGTGACGCCTGCGGGCTCGGGCCGGGGCTGCAGGGCGGCGGCGCGGCTGGTCGAGCGCCAGTGCTCTGGGTGCTATGTGGGTCAGAGCCCCGCGGGCGTGCTGAGGGCCCGAGTCCCGCTTCTCCCTTCCGCTCCCCTCCTGTCACCTGGAGAGCCTCAGCCCCAGCCCCTCTGGGTGATACGTGCCAAGAGCCGCGGGGAGGAATTAATCGGAGGTGGGAGAAACCCGAGCAAAATAACACAGCAGGTGAGGGATCCTTTCTAGGACTGAACCCGGACCTCTGCCACGGAGCCGTTCCCGGCTCCCGGAGGGTGCTTTGGACTGTGCCCCAGCCCCCGGCCTGCATCCCGCAGCCCAGCTTTGCGACAGGTTATTAAGAATGACCCCCGTTTGTTTATGCAGACCTGGCTGTGTCAAGCGATGCCAACCTTGAACTCTCTTTATCAGCGTGAGGTTGAGGGAGAATTCTGAAGGAGGCAGCTGCAGGGTTGGTGGGCAGCTGGGTTCAGAGTCCTTGGTTCCTCCCGCCCTCGGAGCCGGAGGTGTGCGTGTATGAATGTGTGTTTGTGGTGGACATGACTGAGGAGCCTACGGGTTTAGCCCAGAGTGAAGAGTTAAACAGCATCCTTGGGCGGGAGACCTGAGGACAGAATATATACCTTTTTATACAAATATATAAGGGATTCTGCAAACACAAGGCGACATTCAGTGGGGCAGGAAGAAGGCAGACATGAAGAACTGTGAAGCTGAGATGCTGCATTTTGCAATAACTTGACATCTGAAAGGGGTATTCCCCCAGAGATACAGCCAGCACAAAGCTGAGGAGAACTTGTGACCCCACCTAAAAATGTGAACCTTGTCCTTTGCACCGGGCATTGCTATAGATCTGTATCTTAGCATTACAGCATCAACTGGGAGGATTTTTATCAAGTAAAATCCAGATTTCATAATGCATAGGGGCAGTCTTAAAGACAAAGACCAACTGGGGGAAGCAAGCATTCTTCATATGCATTACCTAAATGTGGTTATTTTCCAATGATGGAAAATGTTTTTGTTTTTGTTTTTTTTTTTTTTCCAGAAGAACACCAGTGGAGGCTAGTCCATTAGGAAAGAGTGGGAAGGAGTCTGCTTAGCAGGAGGGCTGGCTGGGATCAATACTGCAAATTATACTAATTTATTTCTAAGCCAGGCAAAAGTGGCAGTGGTTCCTGGACTACCTTGTTTCATTGTTCTGGGAGACTGGAATCACAAAACCAGTCCTACTTCAGAAATACAACTTTACAAACTATTTAGAATAGCAAAGTGGTCAAAGCTGGCCTCTTAAGACATTACTACGAGTTGGATATCCTAATTTTATGGAAATTTTATCCTAACATTTCTTTTTAATTACTTATTATGCAAATGATAAACTTTTTTTCTGATGCTTTACATTTTCAACACAAGGATTTCATAACACCTATTTTGAGCATGTTTGCACTTTCTGTAGCAAAGCCAGGTACATACAACAGTATGGCCCATTTAAGGCTTGGGCATAACCAAAATGCCGGTCTTCAGAATATTCTTACAATTCATTTGCATCGTCCCCTCAAATGAATGCTGCGCAGATGTGGAAGGTGGACAGGCACAGCTCCAAATTTAATTAATAAAATATGTTTTCTTAATTAAATAAAAATGAAGAGGATGTGCATTATTTACTGTTATGGCAGAACTAATCTATATGTTTTCATTATTCTTGGTCAGCTATGGCACTCACTTTAGCAGAGAAGAGTGCTTCTTGATATACCACAAGGAGCAAGGATACAAAGTTTACATGTATTAGACCCCTTTATAGATTTTCTAGTCCCACTGCATAATTTTTATTAACTGTGTAAAGTATATTTGGAACCCTGAGTTAGGGGGAAAAAAAAAAAAAAGGAATGAAAATTCCCCCAGGACTGAAATTCGTAGGAATCTGAATTAGTAGGTACTGGAAAAGAATCAGAGTGCAGCAAAGAAGACTGGAAACTAGCATTGTATTCAGCTGCCAGCTTTGACATTGACTTGCAACGTTACCTGCAGCAAATCACGTAATCTTTCCATGTTTCAGTCTGGCTTGTCAGTGACAATAATGTTGCCAGTGGTTTGTAGTCGAGAGAGAAAAATGGTGAACTGCCAAATATGTTAAATATTCTTTGTGGTTTTGCATGAGTTTTGACATCATGTGCAACAGGAACAAACTTAATAGCTGCAGTTGCTGCCCCATAGAACATCTGACTACATGAAAGAGAGCATTCTGTGCTTATCATGCTTACTGGGGCAAAACCAAAGCATCACCTACAAAAAATCAGATAGAAATGATCACAGTTATTTAGACAACTGTTTTGTTATGAATTGGTTAAAAGATTTTGCTTGATGAAGCACCCCTAATATATATAAATAATTTTAATTCCTTTCTCTAAATTTTAAGTGAGTATTTTACAATAGTGGGAGCAGTTGGGAACTTGTCATTTTGCTGAGGTACAGAATCAGCTCCAGTTGCTTGAGTATTTCTGAATAATGAGTAATTTTGGCAGATGTGGTTTACTGACCCTTCAAATAAGAAATGCTTTGAACTATAAGCTATTCTTCAGAATGTCCCCGCTAGAACTGTACCAGAATCAACACTTTTATTAAGCAGTGCACACTGAAATGACAAAAGTACACATAAGTACAGCTGCATAAATGACAGAGATTATGCCAATTCAGCTAGTTCAGCAAGAATATGGGTTTTGGTGCTTGATCTTGAACCTCTGTGATCTTTGTCACCATTTTAGCAAGACTTTATGGCATAGACATGGCCTTAGTTCATACACATACTAGCTACTCTTCATTTCACCTGTGTATGTAACATATTCTATGTCAAATTTCAGGGACTCCTTGTTACTAAAAAAGGCCCCATTAAGACTATTTTCCTGGGTATATGCTAATGGGAATTGTGATTTTTCAGAGAACAGCAAGCTAAAGAAATGGCTTGCAAAATTCAAAATACCAGTAGTAGTATGCTAGTAGTAGTATGGTGGGAATCAAGGCTTGATGCTTTTGTAGCATATATTTAAAAAAAGGTAAATGATCAAGTACATAATGGAATAGTGTCATATTTTTCCAAGAAGACATGCTGAGATCTTATGCATTAATGTTATGTTTTGTATTGGTTTAAATACTCAACTGCTTTTTGGAAGGAATGCAAAGAATGATTTACATTTCTGTGTGTAATTTGGCATTGTTTTGAGAGAAGAAACAGCAGAGTAATTCACCTAACCGCTCTGGGTCCTCTAAAGCAACCATCATAGCAAAGGCGAACTTTACAAGCATCTAGGATGGGTCGAGTTTGATCTTTCTGGGTTTCACGATACCTCACAATGAAACAGAGGAGGGATAAAGAGCTGAATGTCTCAGATCTTGTAAATGAGCAAGGTTGCATGGGTTATCATTAAAACTCAGGACTTTGAAGTAGTAACCAGGTTATAGCAGGAAATAGGTCTTTTTTAGTAGCAAGTGGCCCATTTCATCCTGAATCAGAAGCAAAGGCACATCTCATTGCAATGCTAGCAGTGTTGCAGTATTGCGGAATCAGTGGGTTGAATTTTAAAATGGGTGATGGCCAAAGGCCTTGAGTTTTTGTGATGAATAAAGATTGCAAATGAGCTGCAGAGAAAAGGGAGTAATAAAGTGGCTGCTGCCATACTGGAGGAGAGGCCACAGGCTGATCAGGGAAGCCAGGAAGAGCAGGAAGAGCCTGACACCATCAGACACTGAGTGCATCTAGCTAACTTGTCTGAGAAACAGAGCACAGCTATTCAGGCTTTGTTGTCATATGGATATGCATGAGAAGGAGGGTGTGGAAGTGTGAAAGGCCATGCAAACAAAACCGTTACTAACCTTGGTACTGAATAGTCTCATCTTTCCTGCAGAAGTCATTTCATAGTTCGTGTTTTTAGAGCTTCCAGCACTATCTGCTTAGTTTTAACTTCTCCCTTTGCTTTGCTTTTCTCCTTTCACATCCCGGAAGTACTGAAACCCCACAAGGGTTTGTACTTTGTGGAGTTTACTCTTTTTCAAAGAGTGCAAATTCAGTTTGCTTGGAACTGTAGCATAAAGAATCTTACTGTTCAGTTACTATGAACTGAACTGAAGCGCTAATAAAATCAATGCCTGCATGCAGTATTTTGTTGGTTCAGCAAGGCAGTGTCCTTACATACAGTAATTGGACTTGTGACAGGTAATTAAATGGCTTGTAAGGCCTTTAGAATGCTTGCTTACATGAAGAATACCACACTAATACATAATAAACGAGGTGGCTAAGAACATTATGTTTCTGTTGATTGGAGAGAACATTGGAGGGAGAGAAGAGAATAAAACCTAGACAAAAGACTATGAGCAATGGTGACATAAAAAGGAAGCATAAGAAGAATAAGAGAATGTACTTAGAAACTGGGTTGCTTTGGTTATTTTAAGTCAATCATGCTTATACAGACTGTCAAGTCTTGACTGCTTCAGTACATCATTAAATGATGAACTTGTTCTTTGTGATCACAAAATTGATAAGACAGTTAAAATTACTCAGCAAGGGATAGGAGCTCTTCACAGAACTTCCACATAATTAGAAACTGAACTGATATTCCAGAAGATACTAAGCACATACATGAACACATTACATATTCTAAATAATTCTTATTAAATTATGAGAGGGCTTACCACAGTCCGTGCTATTATTACATTCACTTGTAGACACACAGCTTGATGTATGCAGTTGCTCACCCATAATTATGGGACTAAACTGGGATGTGATAAGAAA